CCCGCCGCCCCACCGCCCCAGGACATTCACGGGCAAAGTGAGTTCCTGGCCAGCTCCTGCCCGGAGTCCCAGATAGACGAAGCCAGCCACCTCAAGTCCACCCGCATCTTCCCAAGCCCTAGGTGGCTTCAAGCGTGACTTACAACCTCTCTCCATGTCCTAAGTGAGCCTTTCACGTGTTTCTCTGGACGGCACAGATCTGTCCCCTGTCAAGCCCTTTCTTCAGGGAGTAAGGGCACCCGAATGTGGCTGCTGTTGGCAGAGCAGCGCAGGGAAGCTCCAGTGGGGGCTTCAGCTGCTGTTTACAAAGCCTACTGAGGAGCACTGAGATTACTGGGTCCACACACCCCGCTAGCACCCACGGGTCCCCAGGCCTCCCCACTCCCACCAGGACTCGGGATTTCAGGGAGAACACAGTGCCTGATTGAGCGGGCGGTGGAAAGTCTTCCTGAGTGTCCACAAATTCTGCCTGCCTGCAAGAGGCAGCTAAGTCAGGCCTCTCCTGCCAGCCACGGACAGCTAAAACCGAAGCCCCAGATCCTTAAGCACCTGCTCTAACATTCACCTTTAAATTATATGTATGCACGATAGGTTGCAAATATTTTATTCATTCATCTTTCTGCTACTTTATCTGTTATGGCACTGAATCTGCTAGCTTTTTGGTGTGTGTAGGGCAGGACTGGGGATTGAACTTGGGGCCTTTGAACTGAGCTACATCTCCAGCCTCTTTTTTTCACTCTGAGATGGGGTCTTGCTAAGTTGCTAACTTGCCCAGGCTGGGAACTTAACAATCCTCCAGCCTCAGCCTCCCAGAGTGCTAGCATTAAAGGTACAGACCACGCTGAAGTGTTAACCAATTTTGTAAAGTTCCTTTTGCTTCTTGTGCATATGAAGTCCTTCCATATTGTTTTCCTCCCACCTGAAAGTACAACTATATATATTTATGGTGTATGATGCTTTGATATACAGAGAACGCACCATGAAATGATTATATCCAGCTGATTTCAACATTTCCATCACCTCACACTTATTTCATGGGAAAATGCTTAAGATGTACTTCTAAGCAATTTTAAATAGAATACACAGTACGTCATTAACTACAGTCATCATTGTGCTGTACAATTCATCTCCAGAACTGAATCCTCCTAACAGACTGCAACTTTTGACTAATATCGCTCCATTCTCCATTTTCAACTTTTGACTAATATCTCTCCATTTTTCAAAGGGTAAAATGACTCAAATTTCCTTGTTGTTTTTTTTTCTAATTGCTTACACTGAATTCTTTAGTCCATCTGGTGTTATTGTGCATATGATATAAGATACATATACATTTTCCATATCTAGATTGGGCAGAAGTCTTGATCTCAAAGCTCCTTCCAGCAGCACCAGAGATTGTAAATTCCAAATAGATTTTAAATACTGACACCCAAATCACATCAAAATATGGGACATACTGCTCTGTTGCACAAGGCTTTGCCGGACACTCTGATACAGAGAAAACAGAGCTTCAAATGGCTGCATTTACTCTAAGTGTAAGTAACTAGGAGTTGTCAGAAACCATCAATCATACCCACGGGCAGTATCTGTGCCTGCTCCGTAGGCAGATTAAAAGCAGCATCCATAAGAAGTCATCCTTCAATCTAATTAAAAGTCAGGCAGGTACATGAATCTAGACAACTCTGGCTTTCACCAATTTTCTAAGGCAGTGAACATAGCTCCTTTATTGAAACACAGCACAGGAAAGTCATTTTGTTTTTAGTCTCCAATATTCTAAACTTCTGCTTTATTTCAACAAAGATACTGTGTGTAACGCAGCATTGTGTGGCCTGCTATTAATACCAGTTCTGTTGCTAGTTCTCTTTTTTTCCCATTGTTTTGTTTTGTTTTGTTCTTAATTATCCTATGGGTTTGCTCCCCTTTGCAACAGTATTACTGGTCGCTCGATTCTCAGTGCTGGGGATCAAACCCAGAGCCTGGCAGGTACTACTCAAGTGCTCCACCACTGGCCCAGCTACCTACTAATAGTTTTTACTGGCAGTTATAAAATTCACACTTCAGGCAAAAATTAAAATTTGGGAGCCTGTCTCTATGACCATGAATGACAGCTGCTTAGTACTCAACTTTCCTGATGAGATTAGGGGAAGACACGGGATTGTTAATGAAATGAAATATTTTGTAAATTGGAAAATGGACATTAACATAATGGGCCATCATTTTTAAGTGACCAATACAAGATGTTACAGAACTGTGCGTGGGTGAAAGATCCATTCACAGGGGAACAGACTGATGGAGTCTAACATTAACAGAGCACAAAAAGCTGACTGACACATGTTCAGAGTCCCATAACAACTGACCTTTAAAAGAACCCGCCATGCCAAGCCTCTGGGTGCAATCAAAGAAAATCTCTACAAAGCCCCTCCCCTTTTCAACTATGTGTCTGTCGACACCAATTTTCTTCATATACAGTATTTCAGCCAAAACTTTATTTTTTTATGTATATCCTTTTATTGGTACATTTTAGGTGTACAACATAATGACATTCATCATTGGAGATATGCACCTTTATATGCTCTCTTGGTTCTTATTTTTCCCCCTTCCCCTGCCCTCCCTTCAACCCCTCCATCCCTCCCTATTTACAAAGATTTTGTTTCCATTTTTTCATTTTCTCATATTAATTCCATTCCCCTCTTTCCTTTCCCTACCCCTCCCTCTTCCCCCTCCCCTTTGCCCCTTTTCTTCCTATTAATCAAAACTTTATTTTGCAAGAAACTGAGTGACTGCAGAAGCAGTCATAATCTGGCTGTCTTCTATGAAGCCAAGACAGTGAAGAGACATGCAAAATTGTGAAATAATGCAACTCTTTTCATCAGTTAACTTTCTGGCTTTAGAATATGGTAATTTTCATTAAAAACGTTGTATTAACATGTCATGGTTTTGTGTCATTTTCAAATGAGTATTTTAAAATCTCAGTTTCAACATGGTAAACACTGATTAATTTTTTTTTTTTAAAGCAGCCGGGGAGCTCCATCTCTGTCCATTGTTTGTAATACAAGAACAGGGGCCCTGAGACCAAGTGCCTGCAGCACTTGGGACCAGGTGGACTGTCCAGTGGTGTCCAGCCACTCTGCGGCACCTCATGCAGATGTCCACACAGCACCTGTGTACTTCCCTAAAGAA